GGTCTGAAGGTAGCTCCTTGGGGAGAATTTTCCTTTACTCTAAGGAGCCCAGACAGGGTGGGTGGAGGTGGGGAAACCGTGCTGGCTGATAACAACAAATTTGCAAATCTGGTGAACAAAGAGTACCAGAACAGGGCACCAGGGCCTGGCCACCTCCCTACCAAGGGTGGATGGCGGCCTCATCTTTTGACAGGGGGCTTCTGTTTCCTCCTTGAAGGGCAGCTCAAGAGCCATGCGGCTGGTTCCCAGGCACCATGCCAAGTGCATTGGCAAAGACTGGCATCCCTAGTGGCAAGGGTCTATCAAGGGGAGCTTCCAGTTCCTTGTTGGTGTTGGGGTCTGGTGTGCGCACCGGCAGTAAATGTGGAAGCTGTGGTCAGCTGTGGTCAGTAGACCCTGGGGCTGCCTTAGATGAAGGGGTGCAACTGCAAATCTCACACAGCTTCCGGAAGGCCTCTGGAGCCCCTCTGGGAGGCTGAGATTCAGGGAGGCTTCCTCTAGGGGCAGAGGCCAGTTATGCAGTTGCTAACCCGGTGGGGAGGCCTGTTCCTAGAACCAGTGGGGCCAGGACAAGATCAGATGCAACGTCAGCACCCAGGACAGAAGGGCACAGCTGGGATCCCCCTTGAGTCCCTCCTGAGAGGCTGCAGGGAGTGTGCTCCTTTCCCTGGATCACAAGGCTTCCTGTGCCAATCACTGGATATGTGCAGGGGCAATGGCTCAAGGGAACTTGATGGACAGGGGGCTCCGAGTCTGGTGGGGACTGAACCTGTGGTGCCCTCTGGGGTCTGTGCTCTGCAGGGAGTGAGACGCCCCTGCTCACAGGGAGTTGCTCAGCCTGGGCATCCTGCCCAGTACTTAAGCACTTCAGAACCCACCTGGACCTTGGGGTTTGGTTAAAGGGACGTTAACCAAACGTCCCTTTGCTGTTTGCTCAGCTCACCACATGCCTTGCCATAGCCCTGGGCAGTGGGTGCCCCAAGAGCTCATGTTTAATATTGAGCTCCATGCTGGTGCCTTCACTCTTCATGCAGGTACCACTCCACACAGTTCTTGGGTGTCCCAGAAGAAGGGAATTGGGTGCCCCAGGCCAGGGGTTGATGCAATACCCACTCTGGATTGCACGCCTTCAGCGGATTGCGGAGGATTAGAGTTTAGTGCGTCTAAGTGGACTGATGGATTATATGATCTTTTTCTTTCTTTCTTTTTTTTTTTTTTGAGACAGAGTTTCACTCTTGTTGGCCAGGCTGGAGTATAATGGCACCATCTTGGCTCACCGCAACCTCTGCCTCCTGGGTTAGAGTGATTCTCCTGCCTCAGCCTCCTGAGTAGCTAGGATTACAGGCATGCACCACCATGCCCAGCTAATTTTGCATTTTTAGTAGACACAAAGTTTCTCCATGTTGGTCTGGCTGGTCTCGAACTCCCAACCTCAGGTGATGGCAGATCACCTCAGCCTCCCAAAGTGCTGGGATTACTGGCGTGAGCCACAGTGCTCGGCCTATATGATCTAGTTTTAACCAAACTCATCTTCCAAAATGGCTGAGTGGCTCACACAAGATTCGTGTAAGGAATCTGCAATGAACCCCAGAAATCCAGAGGAGGTGAACCACAGCAGAAGGGAGAGCTGGGAATTCCTTATTACTCCTGGCTGAGCTCAGGGTACAGACCTGACCAGAAGTTAGCCCCTAAAATAAAAATTCAGCAAATAAAACTCTTTGAATTTCCCCTACTCTGTGGTTACTGCTGAAGTTTGCCCAAGGTACCTTGTGCCTGGAGCTGTTAAGTCATCAGCAGTGTGCAATCCTCATGGTTGGCAAGGTGTCTAAAACTAAGCTTTCAGAACTGAAGAGAAACCTGTGCAGTCTTTTTTTCCCAGCAATATTTAAAGTTTTGTGCTGTTCAACCCAGTCCTTCTTAGTTATTTCCCTAAGCAATGATAAATATTTGGAAAGCTCTTTTAAAGTTTCTTGCAAGATAGCATGAAACAAAAAACACCTACCAACGGGCAGACACTTATTCTTTCTGTTGCAGGAAAAATGGCAGAAACAATGAGCAGTAAATGATCTGTTGACAAACCGAAAGGCATTTCTTTGTCAGCAAACACCGTCGAAAGATGTAGAGAAAACACTGCCGAAGATTGGAAGAAACTCGTGTTAGAGCAAATTACCCAGTGTGGGAGGTTTGCTTCGCAGTGGGCTGAAAGCACAGATGTTTCCAACATGGCTCAGCTGAAGGTATTTGCCAGGTTCTGTTCCAATACTGAAATACACAAATCACTTCTTTCTTTTCTTTCTTTCTTTCCTTTTTTTTTTTTCATGAGCCACTAAAGGGAAGATAGAGCAGACAAGATATATTGCCAACAGTAAATGCCTTCTTTAATAAAAACAATGTCATATGGGAAAATGGTAAAAATGCAACCACAGATAGAATAGCTACTCAGAAAGGGGTTTTTAAAAAAGGATTCTGGATATGAATCAGGGTGCAGAGGTAGCTTCACCCTTACCCCTCACTTATTGGCTCATCCACGGTCTAATCAGCGCAGGAAAGAGGTAGAAGCCTGGAGGGCACAGAATATTGCAGGAGACCGACCGTAGGCTCATGTTATACAGCCAAGACTGTGGCATTAGAGTAGAATCTTTCCCATACTTGGTAAGGAGATTGGGTGTGACCATGAAAACTTTCCAGCCACACAGAATGACTTATCTTCATGGCAAAATACTGAAGAGGGTTGCCCCAAGTTCCCCTCCCTCTCTGTTAACTTTCCCTCTCTCTGTATGTATGTATGTATGTATGTATGTATGTATGTATGTATTTTGGAGATGGAGTCTCACTCTCGCCCAGGCTGGAGTGCGGTGGCACCATCTCAGCTCACTGCAACCTCCACCTCCCAGGTTCAAGCGATTCTCCTGCCTCAGCCTCCTGAGTAGCTGGGACTACAGGCACCTGCCACCAAGCCCAGCTAATTTTGTGTATTCTTAGTAGAGATGAGGTTTCACTGTGTTAGCCAGGATGGTCTCGATCTCCTGACCTTGTGATCCACCTGCCTCAGCCTCCCGCGGTGCTGGGATTATAAGCGTGAGCCACCGTGCCCAGCCCTCCCTCCTTATTTTTTAAAATTTATCAGTAATTTTTAATTTATTTCTTCCCTGTGATTTTTTTCCCTGTGAATATTCTTTTTTTAAAATTTAGATTCAGGGGTACATGTGCTTGTTTATTACATGGGTAGACTGCATACTGGTGGAGATTAGGCTGCTAGTGAACCCAATACCCATAATGAATTTGTACCCGATAGGTAATTTTTCAATCCTCACCCCAACTCCTACCTCCCTCCTTTTTTTTGAGAGGGAGTCTCGCTCTGTCTCCCAAGCTGGAGGCAGTGGTGTGATCGTGGCTAACTGCAACCCCCGCCTCCAGGTTCAAGAGATTCTCCTGTCTCAGCCTCTGGAGTAGCTGGGATTATAGGCCCCCGCCACCCACCTGGCTAATTTTTGTATTTTCAGTAGAGACAGTGTTTCACCATGTTGACCAGGCTGGTCTCAAACTCCTGACCTCAAGTGATCCGCCTGCCTCAGCCTCCCAAAGTGCTGGGATTGTAGGTGTGTGGCACCGTGTCTGGCTAATTTTTGTATTTTTAGTAGAGATGGGATTTCACCATGTTGATCAGGCTGGTCTCGAATTCCTGACTTCAAATGATCTGCCCACCTTGGCCTCCCAAGTGTTAGGATTACAGGCATGAGTCACCGCACCTGGGCTCCCTCCTTCCTAAAGACCAAAGTGCTGACACTTTTGAGATGACAAGAGCTATCTGTTTTAGACAATCAGGAAAAAGCTTGAAAAATAATTTTACTTTTCTTGCATCTGCTCCTTCAAGGTAAAGATGTCCTCTCAATGAAAAAATGAGAAAGTAATCATCTTGGAATGAAAACTCATGCCAAATAAAACATTTTTTAGAACTGAAGTTTGAGAATGTTTTCATGGACATGTGAATTTTGTGGTCAAAAATGTATTTGACTGATACAACCCTCATCCCTACATATTTAAAAAAAACTTGAAAGCAGATTATATATTTGAATCTGTGTTTTAAAATTTAGATATAATTTACATACCATAAAATTCATCCTTTTATTTCGTATTTTAGACATAGATTCTCACTGTGCTTCCCAGGCTGGAGTCCTATGGCTATTCACAAGTGGGATCATGGTCCTCCAATATTTTTGTGACAGCTACTAAAACCCAGAATTAAAAAAGAACGACCCTGAGAGCCAGGCCTTCAAACTGATGTTTTACAATTTTATTTCAAGGTTTTAGTAAATAAGAAAGCATATTGAATCATGTTACTATTTCTTGCAAAAGCGAGATGCTTTTTCGCACCTTTGTAAATGTACAAATAAATTTGTAATACTGCAAAATTTGCTGGAAAATGTGGTTGATTTCACCTTTATTTAATTCTTTTCAGTGTTCTATTGGAGCAGGTGTGGTACTCACTAAGCATGGCTCTATTGGGATGGGTGCTCCAGAATGCTTTTGGAGGGAGGTCACAAACACCTGGAGTCAGCTCCTTCCTCACCTCTCACCTGGGCCTGTCACTACCCCCATACTCCGCCCAAAAGACCAGACGCTTCTCCTGGCAGCAGCCAGAGTGCTCATTTTCCAGCCAGGGTGAGTCACAGCCCTCCTCAAAGACCTCCAACCACACCCCTGTACCCAGACTTCATGGTCTCCCATGCCCCACCCCCACTCTCCTGACCCCTCAGGCTTTCCCCACTCTACCCACCCACCCCCACCCCTCTGATCCAGTCCTTGGCCTCCCAGAGCACCTTCTGGCACTGTCTCAGGGCCTTTGCACTGCTGTGCTGCCTTGCTCAAGCCCCACTCTATTCAAGTGTCTTGCTCAATCGTCTGCTCCTCAGCAGCCCCTCCTGGTCTGCGTTATCCACCCCTCCAGATACCGTGCCCACACTCACTCATGATTTTTCTCCTAGGAAGTAGTACAGGCATTACATTGTCTAACACTTCCTTTTATTATTGCTTTGTCTCCTAGGAGAATGGAGACCTTCAGGAGGCAGGGGAGTCTTCCTTGTTGAGAAATCTATGCCCAGCATCCAGATGTCCCGGGAGGGTCCATGGGCTCTGGGCTGCTGCCCTGTACCCAGAGCTCCTCAGGCGCTCCTTGGATCTCCTGACCTGGAAAGGGCACTGGGGGTCGGGAAGCATCTGAGTGGCTATGACTTGGGGCAAGCCTCTGCCTCATTGGCCCCTTGGTCAGGTGCAGGGGTGTGGAATGATCCTAGTGGGGAGGCAGCAGAGGATTGTGTCAAAGCCCCATGGGGATCCCCGCCCCAGCAGCCTCCTTGGGTGGGTTGCAGAGTGGCGGGAAGCTGCTCTTCTTCAGGTGTCCTGATCCACCCAAGTCCTTGGGTCTACCAGGTGCTGTGAGGATTGAAGCTAAGAACGATGGGGCACACAGTCTCGGTGTGTCGTATCCAGGGTTGGAGGACGTCTCTGGGTCCAGGCCTGCTTGGTCTTCCTCAGGCTAGAGGCAGGGTGGGGGCTGAGTGGTTTGGGTCCCTTTATTGTCTGGGGTGCAGGCAGCCGCATGGCACAAATCCGCAGTCTCTGGGGTTGGGAGGAAGAATCAGAGAGCAGCCTGGGGGGAGGTCCTGGGAGTCCCAGGCTCAGCTCCCAGGGCGCCCTGGGTTCCTGCTCCCTGAAGGGGATGCAGAGGGAAGAAGGGCAGCGCTGCTCCAGCTAATGCTGGTTTATCTCTAGTGGGTGAAGGTCCAGCGGCAGGTCACCTGTATGTGTTCACGCCGGAAGTGGCAGCTCAGGACGGGGAGCAGGGCAGGACGCCTGGAGGTGGGGAGCAGGATAACTCCAGGGTGGGGCGCTCAGGGAGCAGCGGCCGCCCCCAGCAGCAGCAGGGTCCCGGCCAGCAGAGGCAGCGACGCGGGAACCGGGTGCGCAGCGTCGGTGGTGCCGGCGGGAGCGGGAGGCGCGGTGTCGGTGGTGCCGGCGGGGGGCGCCAGGTCGCAGGCCGTGTAGGGCTCCAGGCAGGCGGCAAAGGCCATGACGTGCGCTACGAAGCTCTGCTCCTGCACACCGTGCACCAGGTGCGCCTGAGGACCGCGCGCGAACACCGCCACGTCTTCGCCTCCGTGGGTCTCGGACGACAGGGGCACCGCCGCCTGCTGCCGGTAATCGGGGCTCCCTGGTAGGAGGGTGAGTGCAGTTCAGGGCAGACGGGCGGCGTCCCCCTCCCGCGAATACCCCCATCCCTGGCACTCTGGTCCCCCTGAGCGGGCCATTCAGCCTCACTCACCGCTCTCACTCTCATTCACGTCTGGTCGCACGCCTGAGTTGAGCACGTAGCCCGGGCCATTGCCGTACAGGATGGACGTGTAGGCTTTGCTGTCCTGAGCCTTGCTGGGGGCCAACCCTGTAGGGAGACGGGGGTCCCTGTAGTTGAGCTGACCACAGCTGTGGGAGTGCCTCCTATGTGCTAGGCACCACCACTTTGCCTGTTCAGGGGCTCTGTCCTCACAATAGGGCTGGTGCCAGCATTACACACATTTGGCAGAGGAGAAAACTGAGGCTCAGACTTCACCCACATAACTGATGCAGCAGCACCTGCCACTCTCCCCAGGCCTACCGAAGATGGAGCTCCCTCGAAAGGTGTAGCCACCAAAGGAGAATACGTGGGAGTGGTCAGCAGTGATGAGGGTCAGCGTGTCCTCCTCGCTGGTGAGCTGGCCTGCCCTCTCGATGGCGTCATCAAACATGACCGCCTCGGTGAGTGCATGGTAAGCCAAGCCCTCATGATGACCATGGTCGATGCGACCACCTGCAGGAAGGCCAGAGGAGGGTGATGCTTGAACTTGCCCTGCCCTGCCCCGCCTTCCTCCACTCCCCAGGGGCCACCACACACCTTCCACGAAGAGGTAGAAGCCGCGGGGGTTCCTGCTCAGCAGGCGCAGGGCAGCCTCTGTCATCTCCAGCAGGGAGGGGTCCAGTGTGGGGTCTCGGTTGATCTCATATTTCATGTCTCCGGGTTCAAAGAGGCCTGTGGGACAAGGGGCTTGGTAGTGATGGGCAGGCTGCGAGCAGGAGAGTGCTGGCTGATGTGCACACAGGCTCGGATGGCACCCTCTGAGGCCGTCTGAGGAATGCCAGGGCAGGAAGGGGGTCATTACCCATGAGATGGGTCACAGACTGGTCCAGGGAAGCCTGCATGAGCTCAGTGCGGTTCCACACGTACCGGGCACCCTGCAGGGATAGAGCCAGGCCTCAGCCCACAGCCCTGAGACCCACACACTTGCCCTCCCCCTGCCATGCCTCCCACACCTGCCAGCCCCCATCACCTGGTGCTTTGTCAGCCATTCCTGCACCAGGTACTTCCCGTCCAGTCTGATTCCATTCTGGCTGGCATCACTTGGGTACTCAGGGTCTGGGGTCCCCCTGGGAAACATGTACTTGCGGCCTCCACCCAGGATCACCTGGGGACAGAGGATGGGGCAGGTGGGTTGGGGGCCTAGTTGGCCCCATGTCCCCTCCTCATGCACAGCCCCTGGCTCCCCTCCCCAGGGCAGTGGGAATGGCCCAGGCTGGGCTGCACATTCCACCTCCCCAACCCCACCTCCAGACCCTGCTGACCCGTATCAGGCTTTTGGTTGCCTGGATCTGAGCCTGTGCCCCCACCTTCCCCTCTGCCTAGCCCCAGCCCTTGGCCTTGGGGTCGCACGTCAATGTCCACGTTGGAGATGAGCTGTGTGGCAATGTCCTGGCAGCCATCCTGGCGGGCCGAGGCAGGCATGTCAGCATCTGAGTACCAGTTGCGATTCACCGTGTGTGCGTAGGTGCCGGCTGGCGAGGCATGCTGCACCCGTGTGGTGGTCACCACTCCCACTGACTTTCCTGAGGGTGACAGGGGTCAGGATTGGTGACCGAGACTTGGGCCTGGTCCTGACCCCGCAGCGGGCCCTAGCTCACCTGCTTTCTTGGCCCGGTTCATCACAGAGATGACCTCATTGCCGCGTGTCGTGTTGCACTGGTTATAGCGGGCGGCTGCACTCAAGCCGATGGTCTGGTAGTTGGCCTTGACCCCGCACAGGTAGGCTGTGGCTGTGCCTGCGCTGTCTGGCACCTGTCTGTCCACATTGTACGTCTGGGAATAGAGACACCCTGAGCTCTACTTTGGGGCTTCGGCAGCATTTACAGCGAGGGGCAAAGTCCTACCCTGATTTAAACCCAGGCAGCCTGTACTGCATCCGGTTCCTAGTATCCCCACTTCGCCTCCCTCCTGCTGCGCCCAAAACATGCAGGGGCTCTGGGTGCTGCTGCTGCTGGGCCTGAGGCTACAGCTCTCCCTGGGCATCATCCCAGGTAATGAGGCTCCCCAAGCTGTTCCGCACACAGGGCGCCCCCTCACCAGGCTGACCTGATCTCTACTCTCCCCCTGGCCAGCTGAGGAGAACCCAGCCTTCTGGACACAGACCCCAACCAGGGGCCTGGTTCTGGTCCTCTGCGGTCCTAACTGCTCCCAGCTCCTAACTCAGGCCCCAGCTGTCCTGGCTCCCTCCCTCCTGCCACACTCCATATCCTTGACCCCCTCCTCTGCTTGGAGGACTCTGAAGTGGCCCAGCCCTTACCTTGGATAGCGCCACGTATGGGAAGCCGTCCATGGCCAGGGGCGTCTCAGGCCCCAGTTTGCCATTCTTCTGCCCCTTTAGGATCCTAGCGGCTGTCACCGTGGGCACCCCCATCCCTGAAGGGGCAGAAATGTGTGAGTCCTGGGCCCCAGGGCTGGCCTGGAATCACCAAAGGTCCTAGGTGCTGGGGCTGTGAGGGCTGCAGGGCTGGACAGGCCTTGGTCACTCACCATCACCCAGGAAGAGGATGAGGTTCTTGGCGACCTTCTGGATGGGCTGCAGCTTCTTGGCGGCATCCAGGGCCTCAGCTGCCTGGCGGTTCCAGAAGGCTGGGTTCTCCTCCTCAGCTGGCCAGGGGGAGAGTAGAGATCAGGTCAGCCTGGTGAGGGGGCGCCCTGTGTGCGGAACAGCTTGGGGAGCCTCATTACCTGGGATGATGCCCAGGGAGAGCTGTAGCCTCAGGCCCAGCAGCAGCAGCACCCAGGGCCCCTGCATGTCTTCGGTGCAGCAGGAGGGAGGCGAAGTGGGGACACTAGGAACCGGCTGCAGTGCAGGCTGCCTGGGTTTAAATCAGGGTAGGACTTTGTCCCTGGCTGTAAATGCTCCACGTCCCTCCCCACACCCCTTGTGTCCATCTTGACCCCACCCAATCCTGTGACCAGAAGCCAAGCTTGCTGAAGGGAAGGGACCGTGTGTGGCTCATAGTGTCTTGTGGGAGATCCGTTGCCACTCCTTTGTTCACCTCATTCAAGGTGTGAAGAGAGGTGAGGCTGGAAACACACAGCCTAGGCCAGGGCCCAGGTTAGGGCTCATCATACCACGAGCCCCAGAGGAGTGTGAAAGGAGGCGTGTGGGGTGGCCTGGCTGCCCTAGAACCCACTTGGTGTGTGTGGGTGCCCACACCTATGTCCTGAGGACACAGGCTGGGGAGGGGCCAGTGCCCTGGGTTGGCCAGGCCTGGGCTGGGTCTTCCACAGCAGCTTGTACACTTGAGGTTGACCCCTGTTTTCTTGCACAGGTAGATTGAGCCTGGGGTGAGTCTGTTTTCCATGAGCCATGGGCACACCCAGAAGTGTAGCCTCTGATAAGGAGCTCAGAGAGTTTGGTGACCTCAGGCTGAGTTCAAAAGTATTGCTCCAGTCCAGACATCCCACTCTGAGTGTGTAGTCAAAGGAATGCAAACCAGGGACTCGAACAGATATTGCACACCCATGTTCCCAGCAGCATTATCCACAGCAGCCAAGAGCTGGAAGCAACCAAGTGTCCAGCAACAGAGGAATGGAGAAACCAAACAGGGTGCACACATACAATGGAGTATCATGCAGCCTTGAAAAGGAAGGCGACCCTGACACCTGCTACAACGTGGATGAACCTTAGGACATTATGCTTAGTGAAATGCACAGTGCAAAAGGACCAATACGCATGAACACACTTCTCTGAGGTCCCTAGGGGAGTCAAATTCATAGAGACAGAAGTGGAATGGAGGTTGCCTGAGGCTGAGGGAGGAGGCAATGGGTTAGGGTTAGGGTTAGGGCTCGTGTTAGGGTTGGGGTTAGGGTTACAGTTGGAGTTTAATGGGGACAGAGCTTCAAGGTTGCAGGATGAGAATGTTCTGGAGATCAGCTGCACAACACTGTGCGTGTACTCAACACTGCTGCCCTGTACCCTTGAAAATGGTGAAGGAGGTAAATCTGATGTACCATGTTATGTAGCACAATTCAAAAATTGGTTCGAGAAGAAAAGGCTCCTCCAGCTCCACCCACCCCAGCCCAACCACAGCAGCCCCTTCTCCACTCAGGCCTGTTTACCTCAAACCCCAGGCTTGGCCCTCAGAACCCAGGGGACCTCACCTGCTGCCCAGCCTCTGCCTGCCCTGCCCCACTCCACACCACGCCCAGGGCCTCCCCTCATACCGAGCTTTCCTGGGTCCTCCTGCCTGCATCCTGCCTGGCTTCCCGCTGGTCATCCTGGGGCTCTCAGGGAAGATGTCACCCTCATGGGCCCTTCCTGCCTCCTGCTTGTTGCCCCCTTAGTTCCCTCTACCTCTTGCTTCATCTTGCTGAGTGAGGAACATTCTTAGCTAAAGGTCAGAGGAGACTCACTAATGGGCAGGCAATTAATTCATTGATTCACTCCAAAGTCAAGATGAGTCAGGGGGCTTTATAGCCACCCTGAGTTTCATGTTTAAGTTGGAGTTTTTGACAGAACTATAGATTCACAAGTAGTTGTAAGAAATAATACAAGCCGGGCACAGTGGCTCACGTCTGTAATCCCAGCACTTTGAGAGGCTGAGGTGGACAGCTCTTGAGGTCAGGAGATTGAGACCATCCTGGCTAACACAGTGAAACCCCATCTCTACTAAAAATACAAAAAATTAGCCAGGCGTGGTGGCATGCACCTGTAGTCCCAGTTACTTGGGAGACTGAGGCAGGAGAATCGCTTGAACCTGGGAGGGGAAGGTTGCCGTGAGCCAAGATCGTGCCACTGCACTCCAGCCTCGGTGGCAGAGTGAGACTCTGTCTCAAAAACAAAACAAAACAAAAAAAACCAGGCAATAATACAAGAGGCCCGACATAGTGGCTCATCTCTGTAATCCTAGCACTTTGGGAGGCTGAGGCGCGAGGATCACTTGAGCTCAGGAGTTTGAGACCAGCCTGGGCAACATGGAAAAATCTCATCTCTACAAAAAATACAAAAATTAGCAGAGCGAAAAGGGCGTGCTCCTGTGGTCCCTCCACAGGAAATAAATAGCCTTTGGGTCTGAGCTGAAATTCTCTCTCCACCTACTTGGGAAGCTGAGGTAGGAGAATCACTTGAGCCCGGGAGGTGGAGGTTGCAGTGAGTCAAGACCATATCACTGCACTCTAGCCTGGGTGACAGAACAAGACCCTGTCTCAAAAAAAAAAAAAAAAGAAAAAAGAAAGAAAAAAAGAAAAAGAAATAGTACAAGAGATGTCTGTGTGCTTTGCTTAGTCTCCCCCAATGGCATAATCCACGGTGATTATTCAGATTTCCCCAGTGTTCCCTGTATTCATGTGCATGTGTGTGGAAATTTGTAGACAATTTTATCACCTAAGTAGGTTTGTGTAACTGCACCATAGTTGAGATGCTGAAGAGCTCCAACCCCACAGAGTCCCTTTTATAACCAGGCCACCTCTTTCCTCCACCTCTTCCCCTGTCCCTAATCCTTGACAACCAGATATGTGTCTAAGCTGGGTGACAGAGTGAGACAACATCTCAAAAAAAGAAAAAGAAAAAAATAAGAAATGCTTTATGGACTTTGCATAGTTTCCCTACCTTTGCCTAGTTTCTCTACCACCCTAACTTTGCCATCTCCCCTTTAACAAGACAAAGCATGCTTTAGACTCAAAGCACCTAAGGAGGCTGTAAGGACATTGCATTTGGTGTGTATGGAATACAGAGTGGCTTCTGTTTATGGTAAGAGATGGTGGTCCCCCATTTTTCAGTTACAAGTTTTCTTTTCTAATAGATTTAAGGAAAATCTGAGCTTATGTAGAGAAAAATATTCAGTAAGTAATACCACAGGCAGTAATGTGGCTATGGCAAAAAAGTTGTCAAGGTGATAGGTGACTAGCTGAGCGCTAAGAAGCATGGATTTAAAAGAAATAAATTAAATAGCCTTTGGGTCTGAGCTGAAATTCTCTCTCCACCACTTACTGAGTGTCCTTCAAAACGGAACCTCTCCAAGCCTTAATTCCCTCATCTACGAACAAGAAGAATGATAGTCCTGTCAACCTCAAGAAACAGAGGGAGGCTCCCCAAAACTGTGGAGTTTAATTGGGAACAAGCAGCAGCACTGCATGTGGAGCCCCAGCCTTAGTAAACTAAGGGCGCATCAGAGGGGAGGCAAGGAGGGCTTTGAAAGACCAAAGGAGCAGTACATGCTCGGTTTTTGGTTTTTGTCTTTTTTGTCTTTTTTTTTTTTTTTGGAGTTGCTCTGTTGCCCAGGCTGAGTGCAGTGGTGCGATCTTGGCTCACTGCAACCTCTGCCTCCCAGGTTCAAGCAATTCTCCTGCCTCCGCCTCCTGAGTAGCTGGCATTACAGGCACTCGCCACCACATCTGCCTACACAGTTGTTTTGAAAGGAAGAGAACACTGATTCCAGGGGCTTATCCCAGGAATGGACGTCAGTTTATGAGTGGACACAGCGTATCAGGCAAGTGTTCTTGTGCATCTGGCTAGCCGTCCTTGTGACTCACGTAGCGAGCTGCAAAGTCCTGGCAAAAAAATTTAAAAAAAAAGGTCTTGTTTCAGGCGTCTGCGCCTCAGAGCCCTTCCCAGAGGCTTCGGGATCACAGGCAGGTGTGCGGGTGGGGCCTCCTTCACAACCTCCCGGCTACATTATTTTGTTGTTGCTCTTAGGGTTGGACAAAAGTGGCTCCATTTTGATTCTGACAACTTTCACAGAGCCGGGGGCTCAGGGCTGTTGTGGAGACTTAATTAGTGCAGGGTCTGCTGCAGAGTTAGCAGGGGGAGCAGGGGGGAAGAGGTGAACCCTGACCTTCATGAACACGAGGTAAGTCCTGAACACCCTTGAAACTTGTTTCCGATCTGAGGGTCTGCACACCACACAGTGGGCCAAATGGTAGCGGAAGCAGTTCCTTCCTAGAGCACAAATCTCTTAAATTCCTAATTAAGGGCTGTGTAGGCAGGACCTCCCTCTGTCCCATCCCACCTACCAGGGAGGGACATCCAGGCATTCCTCACACACAGAAGAACTTGGGTCAGGTACCTGGGATGGGAACAAGAAGGGACTGTCCCACCCCCAAGGCAGGAGACACCCCAACCTCCTCCCCACGGGCTTCCTGGGGAGGCCTCTCAACAGGCCATGGAGCCTCCCTCAGCAGCACAAGCAGGGCACTGGGGCCTCAGCCTGCGGGAAGCTGCAGGCACATGAGCAGGTTCAGTGAAGGGGGCGTTTAGCCAGGCACCCTGAGCCCTGATCTGGCCACCCCCTTCACTGCCCCCCAGCAGTAGTGACATTGGCAGGGATGGCTGGCAGGTGAGCCCTAGTGCATGGTTGTCCCCTGAGAGTGAGGAACAAAAGACAATTATGCCCTGAAAGGTGCTTCGGGCATCTATATGGATGTGTGGAAAGGAAAGTTTATGAAGTCAAGGATGCGACAATTGTGTTTAGTGGTTTAACTTTGATCTTATATGACAGGAACCAGGAGGACAATTGTATTCCAATAGCACTCTGGTGAGTTGAAAACCTGTTTTGTTTTTTTTTTTTTTTTTGAGACGGAGTCTCGCTCTGTCGCCCAGGCTGGAGTACAGTGGCCGGATCTCAGCTCACTGCAAGCTCCACCTCCCAGGTTCACGCCATTCTCCTGCCTCAGCCTCCCGAGTAGCTGGGACTACAGGCGCCCGCCACCTCGCCCGGCTAATTTTTTTGTATTTTTTAGTAGAGACGGGGTTTCACTGTGCTAGCCAGGATGGTCTCGATCTCCTGACCTCGTGATCCGCCCGTCTCGGCCTCCCAAAGTGCTGGGATTACAGGCGTGAGCCACCGCGCCCAGCCAAAAACCTGTTAAGTTGAAT